AATATCTATAAATTCACGCAACAATTTTCTTCGTTTCATCGAGTTTAATCTTTGTAAATTTTATATTTTTTCTGAATTTTATTTATTTTAATAAATAATTTATTATATTAATATTTATTACACATACACACATATATGCTCTCTCTCCCCCAACCCTCTCTCTCTCTCTCTCTGAGAGAATCATTTTACTCATTACGTAATATAAATTGGGATTGCCATATAAATCCCATCTATTTAAATATAATAAATATTTAATCAGACAAACAACGTGAAGATCATTTGATATTCCAATTGAAAATGTAATTCTAATTATAGAAAACGATTTGGAAATACAGATATAAAAAAAAGTAATTTAGAAAGTACAAGCGATTGGATTTTTTTGTATGCAGAATGCGTTAATTCAAGAGGGGAGGAGAGAGAGAGAGATAGATAGAGAGAGAGAGAGAGAGAGAGAGGGAGAGAATGCACAGTCCAAAATAAAATATCGAAAATTTTACTAATACTCATATATAGAATATATTTGTTCTTCCAGATTAAAGATATTTTATACATTGCGTATAATATTAATTTATACATAATAACATTCTAATATTAGCGTTAATAAAACGTTTAATACAAAAATATAAAATTCCATTTAAGAAATAAACTGTAGATTCAAATATAAAACAACAGCAATTTAGAAAAATATAAACGATTGTATTTTTGTAAGCACAACTGTGCATTTTGCGTGTATCCGAGTATGATTATATTTATTATAGCCTGAGGCGAATAAATGTTCTCTTTCCTTCTCTTGCTTTCTCTCTTTTTTCTCTAGTACTCTTCCTCTACCTATTCCAAAAATAAAAAATTACCTCTATTATTTTTTTTATATATTGTGTTGATGTTATAATAATTTTTTGTTCTAAATTATTGATATACTTGTAAAAAATATTACATCACTCCGAAAAAATACAGAAAATGCAAGCAAATGTATGAGTATTTTATCGTATTTTTTCTCCTATCTGTTTTGCTTATATTCATAAAATTATTAACGCATAAAATAACATTAATAAAATATAATTTAATAATATTAATATATTTTTGTTTTCATTAAAGTAACGATTTTTCTATAAATGCAATACTTTTGATCGATTCTTTATCTTATCATGCACATATAATTGTGTATGTATATGTGTATATATATGTATACCATGCCATGCAAACATTTTTAAATAAATTAGATAATAACAAAATAAATAGGAGAATAATCTTTAATTTTAACTAAAATCATTTTTAAAAATAAAGATCAACTAATTTCTCTAAATGGAACCATCCTAATTCTTTTATATAAATCGATTTCTCGCAATATTCGATATAAAAAGTTGTGGATGGACAAAATTTGAATAGTTTATGAGATACTTTATATTTTAAATCAACATACTATAATTTTGTATAAACTACGAAATATCTTGTAAAATATTCATTTATTTCATTTCTATTTATCTATGATTATTTTGCATCAATTTTTTATATTTTAATTATAATTTTACACAAAGTACGAAATATTTCGTAAAACATTCATTTGTTTTATTTCTACTTGTCTATGATTATTTTGCCTCAAAAGTTTTATGCATAAAATAATAAGAGGAATCAATTAGTGTAAAAAAAACACATAATTTTTTTAAATTGATTCCTCTTATTATTTTGTGCATAAAATTTTTTTAAAATTATAATTAAAATATAAAATATCTTGTAAATTATTCAACTTTTGGCTGTCTTATTACAATTTTTACACCGAATATTGCGAGGAATTGATTTATATATAAAAAATTTAGGGTAATTACAGAAAAATTAGGTGAATTCCCACATAATCTGGAAAACTTTAATTAAAATTCAAGATTATCAATTTTTTTCTCTTCAAAACCTTATTAATTTTGTCTAAAACACTTTATGTATAATCAAATTGTGAAGAAAAAGACTTTATAATACTTTATACAAAATATTTTATAGTATAGTATTACAGTATATAGTATATAGTATACAGTATAGTATACAGTATATTAACTAGCACATAAGGCTAAAATTTTTATTGGTTTAAAATTGCACCTGTGTGATATATAGATTATAGATGTATGTTGTCGCATTCAGTTAAGAAAAGATACACGCGAAAATCAGGATTTCGGCCAGCTGGAACTGTTCTAGATTCTGTCGGATCTATTTTCAAAGGCACTTGCTACACATCCTACGCTCACTACGAATCTTGATAGCCGTGAAAACTTAAAATTTAAAACATTTTTTATCATTTTCTCAAATTTATTCACAAAATCATTTTGAGAAGAATATCCTTATTCAAATTTAAGTTAATTTTATAAAATTAATAATAATAATCTTTTAATAATAATAAATAATAATCTTTTAATAATAATATTTTTAGTATTAATAATAAATATTTTTTTATGTAAAAAATAAGATTAATCATCTTTCAATAACATCTTTCAACTAATTCAATTCCATTCAATTCAATTTATCTTTTTAACAAAGTGAGCAATTACGAAATAGTATTTAATGTAAAAAAGATTTTGATGTAAAAATATGATGAAGAAATATCATGTTTTGATGTTTTACTATAAGGCATTGGATAAATGCTCTAACATAGATATTAATAATAATAAATTTACAAATGCATCTAAGAAAAAAAAGTTTAATGTAAAATAAAATAAATCATTATTTAATGAAGCGGAACGTATCATCTTTTATGTTTTTTCTATTATAAATATTTATGTGATTCTTTTATCTTTAAAATATATTAAATAATAAATACATCTAACTAAACCAATTATTATCAATCTGGAAATTAGAACGTGGGTGTGAAATTAGTGCGTACTCGGTTGTATTTTCGACTGTACTTGCGTTACTTTCACAGATTACTTTTCTGTTTTCACGAGAGACACGGTTTGTCCTCAATTATTAATCCCGAAATTACGCAATCGTGAATCGTGAAACAACACAATAAACGGCCAATGTATTATTAGATATTTCGTTTGTAGCGTGGCCGTAACTTAAAGATACATCAGAGACAATAATTTTTAATGAATTTATATCAAAACATTGTAATCTATATAAATGGTTCTTATTTATTTATTTTACATTATCAACTAACAATATGTAATGTATAATATGGTATCATAAGATTTTACAGTTACCATTATTCTAAATTTAAAAAACCATTTATAATATTATGCTAATATTATATATATATATATATATATATATATATTATATTATATATAATATTACATATACTATTACAAATAATAGCGTTAATAATATAAAGATATAAATAATTTAAAAAATCAAAAATAAAATTTACGTATTTCCTCTTTCTATTTTTTTATATACCGAAGATGATTGTTTAATAATTTTTTAATAATTTATATTTAATTTTATAATATTTAATTATTATATATTTTACGTATTAAAATATTCAATATTGAAACCACGATGTTTTTCCGGTGCATCAAAATTTTCCGATCAGGAAAATTGCGCAATTTGACACATGCTGTAGTTTTGCAATTAACCGTTTCTCACGCTATTATTTCCGCGGACAAACTTTAAAATAAACATTTTTTATCGTTTTCATCCTTGGGCAAATTGATGTTATTATGCGGTTTATCGCAGAATAAACCGCAATTGTTGAAACAGACTCAGTTTGTAATTTCGCAATGCAATACGAATTTTTCATTTCAATTTAGACAACGTTCAATTTATTCACGTTTACTTTTAATGTTTTTACAACACTCATAATGTTATAATAGTGTTATAAGTTTGATTTTTTTTGATAAATTGGATTACATTCGTTTATATATTAATCTTAATAATTTAATTATTGCACCTAATTATAGATTCTATCATTTATTATAATCTTATTTCTTTATTCATAGTTTTATTACTTTATTATATAGAATTTTATTAATTATTTTATTAATTGCAAATCTAACATATAGTTTATATATATATATATATATATATATATATATATATATCCAAGTTTTTATATTTATTTTAAAATAAATTAGTTTCATTAAACTCGTAAATATAAATTCATTGTTTTTAAAATGTTATAATTTTTGAGAATTATATATACATATATATATATATATATATATATATATATATTTATATTTTATATTATTGAATTTAAAAAAATAAAAATAAAAGTTTAGTACAGAGTACAAGTAAAAGATACTGTAATTACAAAATTATTATTCTTTAAAAGAAATATTTATATAATAACTTCTTTTAATTCTCAAAATTTTTCTTATGTATTTTACATATACATACACGCACGCACGCATGCACACAGCCAAAGAAATGAAAAAAAAAAGAATATTCAGAAAAAAATTATAATATTCTTTCGAAAACCATATTGATAAAATAATATTAGAAAATAAGATTAATTCAAAATGTCTAAAACTGCAGTTATTTAATTTTATAATATTTTTCACTATCAATATATACTATCAATATATACTATATAAAAGATAATTGAGAATAATATAATTAATTAAAAGAAAAAGATTTGCAGAACTCGGGGGGAGGGAGTGAATCATTATTTTATATATATACTTATATAATATAGACATTTTATATATATACTTATATAATATAGACATAAAAATTTTCTAGAACATATTATCAAATATAAAATACTTATTAATGTACTAGTAGGTTGTTAATTGTTGATAGAGATGTACGATTAAGAGATACCGATTAATTAATATACATATAATACTGTTGCTGTAAAAAATCTCTCCATAGATTTGTGTACTTTATATATTTTTTTGTCAACATTTCGGTTTCTTAAAATGTTTGATCATTATATTGTTTATATATTAAAAAAGTTTTATATAATAAAAATTATAACATTTTTATTTATAATGAAATGAATATTTTTATTCAATAGAATAAAAATGAAAACTTGAATAAAATTATGTATTATACATACTCTTTTTCACACTCACCTTTTTCGCAGCCTGACTTCTTAATAGCGCGATGAACCTTATAAGCACTCACAAATATACACTCACGGATACTATGAGCTTTAAATTTTTGACGGAACGATGGCGTCGCGACGCCGCGGAAAATCGAAGGACAAGCTTCGTAACGCCGGCAATCGGCAATTTGAATTGCAACAAAACGAAACACACGACCCGGTTTCCAAACGCGTCACGCGATCATGCAATAATGTATAACAACAATGATGGAAGGCGTAAGATATATGGTAGCACCACGTGGTTATGCAGTTGTCGGGATGAAGAGCACGTAACAAACCATCCTCACATGTCGGCAGCTCGCTGCACACTACATTCTACATTGCTCCGTCATCGCGGTTATCCGTGCGGGAGTCTCCCTCCACAGTCTACGCACCTCACACCACCCACAATACCTCTCTTATAGCACGCTCTATTCATATATATCTATACATGCAATATAGTAAATTCATAATCACATACTACACTTGATTAAGAGGATGATAATTTAATAAAAAATTTCTTTAATTAAATGTAATGAATTTATACAAAAATTTATATATTTCAGCGCTTGATTCTTAGCCTTCTGCGATTTGCTTTTGATTTATATCTTTTGAACCTCTTCTTTTTAAATTAATTTTATTTATATATTTATATAAAAAATATTCACTAACTTTATTGCAGATGTTTCACTAACTTCATTGCTATTTTCTAAGAAATTATTGAAGATATCGATGTAAATTTTTTTAAATTTTATTTTATTATTATTTTATTATTATTATATAAAGAATTTTTATTTAGTGAAATATAAAAGAAAATTATTCCTGAAAGCATCATGAATCACTAATAAAATATTTATCAGCAATAAAAGCATAAATGGAAAATACAAATGTAAAGTACTTATTTCAATATTATTATATAATTGCTTAGAAAATGTTATATAATACAGTTTACAATATATATAATTTATATTTTTATTATATGATGTAGCTTTTAGTATTTATTATTATTTAATGTAATAATAAAGATCGATTCTTTATTATTGTATATAATTCTTTATATCTAATCAAACACGATTAGATAATGTAATGAATAGAATAACATATTATAATATGGAAAGTATAGATAATTTTATTTCTCCCTTAAATACATATATATAACACAGATATATATTATGAAAATACTATTTTATATACAAATATATACAGTTAAGTTATTGAAAATATCATTAAAATAAACAATTAAAGAAGAAAATTATTTTCAATGTATATTATATTATTGACATTATCATCATTAAAAGATGACTTGAAAGTAGAGTCGCATCAAAGGTGTAATTTTGAGATAAAAATCAAGTGAGTATAAAAGTGACGTTAAATTCGAATTGCTTGTATCTTGACGTGCGAAACCTTAACAGAAAATGGCCTCTGTCGTCATCAAAATAAAAAGACGTCGTAAAGACACATCGTACGACACTCAACCTTTTCGCGTTACTCGCGATGTACGATTCGAGATATGTATACACAAAGTATGAACATGCGAGTAAATCGCGTGCGCGCGTACGTGCGCACATACACACACACGCACACACAATTTTTAATTTCATTCTTAATTTTATTTTTCCCTCACATAAGGAGAGAATAAAAAATTCAACTACAAATTTATTTAGGATTGTCATGTTTTCTTGTCACGAAATAAACATACATGAATGTGTAATTATAAATATAATAAAATAAATATAATAAAATATAAAAAAGAAAGTATATATATATATATATTATAAATAATATATAATGATAAAAACAAATATAATTTCATCTACAGATGTTTTACGACTTTCGAATTAATAAAAATTTGCATATTTTGTGTAACATTTCGTAACAACTTAAGTTGATTAATCGCTGCTCCGTAAAATATTATATAAAATGTTTCGTTAAAATAATGTTTCGTTAAAATAATATTTCAGTGTAAACGTTCTAAAACAAATATTTTTTCAAGTGTAGCAAGTTTCACGTATCAATGTGAAAATAATTTGCGAACAAATGTATAAACAAAATGCGTATCTGAACATTTCGTTTCGCTTTTGTAGCGCAATTTGCATAAATTTATCTTTCTCGGATATATGTTTTTCTTTCGAATATTTGTATATTTCTGAAAGCATCATGAATCACTAATAAAATATTTATCAGCGATAAAAGCATAAATGGAAAATACAAATGCAAAGTAAATGGAAAATTTTATTGAAATAACATTATATATCTCGTACAAATAAACGAGAGAAGTAATTATTGAAATAAATAATTGTAAAAAATATTTCTTTTTTAAGAACTGTATTGTTAATTATGACAAGTAATACACATATAACACACACGCACATCTACACACACACACACACACACACACACACACACACACACACACACACACACAAATAAACACGTATATATGTAAACATAGAATAAATATAGAATAAATATAAGTGTAATAAATTTTAAAAAAGTTTGATAATATTATAATAGTGATTGTAAAAAAATTATCTGTTTATGTCAATTTATGTTTTTATAATTTTGAAGACATAATAACTTTTATGTATTCTCTAATAAAATTTGTTTTCTTGTAAATTTGTAAGATTTTTTTATATTTTCATGATTTGATGCATTTTAGATATATCGCAAAAAGAAAATAGAAAATTTCTCGATCGTACATTTATATGCAGAAAAGAGCGCGCAAATACTTTGCGGCGAAATTCGGTCGTTTGGCTATTTACTTGGCAGATCAACTCTCTCGTGACTTTACATTATTGTCTTGTCGCCTCAAATAATTCAACTTCTATAGTTTTTAAATTTAGAAGGATGGTATTGGATAATTATTGTTATGTTATGTAATATATATATATATGATATCCTATTATGTGATATATATATATATATATATATATATATATATAGACAAGTAAGCTATATGCACAAATATTTTTTATTAAAATTATAGAGCTCTGAATAAAAAATGTTTGTGCATATGGCTTACTTGTCTATATATATATATATCACATAATAGGAAAAATATTATTTAACAAAGTGCTTTTCATCTATTAATACAAATAGAAACAAAAAAATTGCGTTTTTATATATCTTATATATGTATATATATATATATATATATATATATATATAGTTATATTTGTTACATATTGACGAGTGTTTAATCTCAGCTTACAATTAATCAAAACTTAATCAAATACTTCGCGTCAATAACATTTAATTACTTAATCACAGTTTGTTTAAATCACGTGTTACACGTGATACATGTTATATAATTACATCCATATTGTATATATATATATATATATATATATATATATATACATACAATAAATAAATAAATAAATATATATATATATATATATATATATATATATATATATTCTCCCTTTATATTTTTTTTTTGATAAAGCTCGGTTTATATTTTATATTTTATTGTTAAAAAATGTAGAAAATAAAAAAACGCAGATATTTTTTACATTTAATTTCTTACAAATCTTTTATATTGGAAAAATTTAATTTATTCAAATTCATTTTATTTAAAAAATAATAATCAATCCATTCTGATATCATTTGCAACAAAATTGTTAAAAATAAGCAAAATTTTATTTCTAATAAATAAAAAATGCATACAAAATATATATGAAAGTGATATAACATACAAGTTATGTAGATAATATGAAAATATATATGAAAAAGTAATGCGATTTGGAACGAAGCATCATAAATTCGCTTGTTTATCATTAATCATATTTATTACAAATTTATTATAATTATAAACATACATATACAAAATGTCATGCGCCGTAAACTTTCCGTAAGATAAATTTCTTGCATACATCTCTTATAAATAAAACAATTAAATAAATATATATGAAAAAATAAAAAAAATTAAATAAGAGAAAAAAAGCCATTTAAACTTAAGTTTATAATTAATATTTATAATTAATATTTTAATATTTTCAAAAAATTTTTAATAAAAAAATAAATTTTAATGAAAAAATATATTTTCTAAATTTTGGGTTTATTTTTTATTTTTATTTTCTATCTAATTTTATTTTATTTTAGTTTATTCTAATTTTAGTTTATTTTCTATCTAATTTATAATCAATTTCTAATTGCTTTATTAGCACAAAAATTATTTTATTGCGTATACTTTATCTAAATTAAAAATGGTTTAAAATAAATGGTTTAAAATAAAAATGTATCACTTATATATTATCTTCCCCAAAAGTAAAAAATAATTGTCTTATCATTATTATTAAAATATTCTTTGAAATGTTCTCAGTTGCAGTAATCGTTACACAAAATTGTCGTAAAAGTTTTATGTATTTTATTTTTATTGTATTGTATTTTTTAATTTAAGTATATATAGTAATAAAATATTATAGAAATAGAGAGAGAAAACAGAAATTTTTTGAAAGATTAAAACACATGCTTTCAGAATTCATAGCATTATATACATTAAGTGAAAAATAAATAAATGTTAAAAAGATTTTATACATACACACACATATATGTATTAATATGTGTGTGTGCGCGTGCGTGCGTGTGTGTTGGATGTATATGTTTTACCTTTTCTCATGTAGCTGTCATAATTTGTCAAGAGGAGATTATAGTAAATGTTTATCTATATACTTTAAGATAATATAAAAATATTTTAAAATAATAAAATTACCTTGAAAAATATTTCACCGATAGTACAGAAAGAGCATTGTAGAATTTAAAAGTACTTCTTAAATGGAAATGTAGAAATGTAAGAGATTTAGATGGCGTTTTATATAATAAAAATCACTAAAGAAAACTCTTAGAGTATATCCAAACAAATTTGCATAAACGCATAATATATATACACATATATATATATATATATATATATATATATATATATATACGTTTTAATTAGTATGAGACTCACAAATGATTCCGCATCGATTGACTACCCAACTAGAACATGAAACTCATAATGACATCATTATGACGTTATCTAAAAGTCATTTTAGAATCATTTTAGAGTTTTTTTAAAATAAAAATAATTATCTCATTTGATATACTTTTGGCAATGTTTTGGTGACTTATTTTTGATATTATATTGACTATATGTATATATATTATAGTATATATAGTATGTATATGTATGATATGTATATTTTAATTATATTTAAGCAACATAATCTTTTTAAAATTATATAATGCGATTATTGAACTTAAAAATTTATGATTCTTTTTGTCATCTTTAACTCATTTTTTAATCATTTTTGTTTAGATAACTTTTAAGTAATAAAATCATGATGACGTCATAATGATGTCATTATGAGTTTCATGTTCTACCTGGGTATGCAGAACTTAGATAGAATTTAAATTAAAAACACGGATGCCAACTTGTGCCAACCATTTTTATTTTATATTTTACAGTAAAAGACTAATCTCATAAACGTTTTAATTAATCTCACAATCAGTTACAAACGATAAAAAAAAACTCGAAAAATCAAAATGAAGGTGCCAAATTACCGGAGGCCCAGTTGTACAGTACGCGTCAATGACCGCATTCAGCGGACTCGGGAGCGCCTCGTTTGACCACGTTGCGATTGACCGCAGTCAATTATATCGACCTGTGCCTAGGGTAACCAGCAACGATTGATCAATCAGAGAGTCCTATTTGGAATTGGCCAATTAACGTAGTCAATCGGATGTCACCCAGCAGCTCAACCGCTAAGTAGCAATCGAACGTGATTGGTTTCTACTTTCCGACCAATCAGCGTCAAATGACAACGGAAAATCTAGTAATGTTGCCCAACTGTTGAATTCACTAAATGCGGCCAATGGCCGCATTCAGCGGACTCAACCGTTAAGTAGCACTTGAATATAATTGGACTCTACTTTCAGGTCCGACCAATCAGCGTCGAGTTACATCGGAAAATCTAGGAATGTTGCCCAACTGTTGAGTCCGCTGAATACGGCCAATGATTCGTTCCGTTTCCTTAGCGAGGATTGATAATACTTATCATTTGCTAATGCATAAGATCCTCTGCATTAGCAAGAAGCGTCCCGTTTGTCCACATCCCGATTGATCACAGCCAATCATATCGACCTGTATCTAGAGTAATCAGCAACGATTAACCAATCAGAGAGTCCTATTTTGAATTGGCCAATTGGCGACCTGCACAATCAAATTCCGTCCGCATTAGCAAGGGATATATATTATCCCTTGCTAGGGAAACGGAACAAATCAATTGCTGCATTCAACAGTTGGACAACATTACTAGATTTTCCGATGTATTCAACGCTGTATGGCTGGATCTGAAAGTAGAAATCAATCATGGGCTCCGAAAACTTGACATCCCCACTTTGACTTCAGAATTTTTTTTTAATCGTTTGTGATAGCCAAAATGGCGTCGAAAAATGTACAAGTGTGCACTTTTATTATGTACACTTTGGCCGGTATTCATAGTCCGACCTTATATTTGAGATCGTCTTAAGTTCGAGCTTGAAATGCTATGCAGCTATTTGATTGGTTGAAGGAGGTCTTAAGTCAACCTCCAAGCAGACTTAAGACGATCTTAAATATAAGATCGGACTATGAATACCAGCCTTTAAGTGCAATTTTCTAATCTGTATGTAAAATCTGAGAAGCGTTCGTGACTAGGTTGCTGCATAAAAGCCTATAGAAATCAAAGCAAAAAAGGTTTTCATTTATTTCGCATCACAAAAAGCGAAAAAAACAACGAAAAATGCGAAGAATAACTGAAATTAATTGGCAAAAATACATTATCATCAAGAATTCATGCAAATATATAATTTGAATGAGCTAAAATGGCGAACGATTGTAGTATTTTGTATATCTAGTGACTCTTTAATATATATCTTTCTCTCTCTCGTAGGATTTAGCAGAAACGTGGTGGACTTCCGGCTCGTGTCTCTAGGTCTATTCTTTATAGCTGAACTGGTTGCACTGGACTGCACTAGTTCAGAGGTTATCTTTTTCCTCCCAATGTGAATGAAAAAGGATAACCTCTGAACTAGTGCAGCCTAGTGCAACCAGTTCAGCTATAAAGAACAGACCTTCTGATTGTGTCTCTAGTTCAGTAGTGATGTGGCCATTCTGTACTTCGTTTGTACAATACAAGATGGCATAATTATCGCATACTGATTTTATCGAATCAATTTCCTCACTATATTTTTATATAATTAACGATTGACATGGATTGACAGGAAAGTTAGCAGACGAATCGAATATAAGAAGTATCATATAAATATAATTCTGAAGTAATCCAAATACAAATAAATAAAATACTTATACAAACAATATACGTATATAACAATATACGTATAAAAAAAAATAAAAATACTAAACGGCGTAAAAACATAATGGTAAAATAAGATAATGGATATTCCCTATGTTATACATAATAATGTGCATAACTTTTGCATAACCTTCTAGTGTAACAAATCTTGCGCTAGATAACAGTTTATAAAATTGAAAAAAATATCCTAAACAAAATAAAATCTTACTTGTGCGACACAATTACGACATATTATAATACGATATAAACAGTAAAAATATCCACCAAACATTTCATAAAAATTGCAAAAATAGTGAAAGTATATTGTGCAATATATGAAATATATCGAATATATATATACTTTACTGTGGTGGTTGTGAAATATGACTTCATATAACTTCTAGTTCTCATAGCTTGTCAGAGAGATTTACAATGTGTGAAATTTGTGATTCAGATCACAATTTGTGAAATTCATTATATGCTTATATGCTCAATGCCTCACGAAGATAATTAAGGAATATTAAATAAATCGTGAAATATATTAAATACATTGTGTGTGAAGTAATTTTCTAATATAGTCGCTGTTAATCTTTCCATTTTGATAAATTGCAAGAAACATTAAAATGGGATCCGAACAAAGCTCTCAAAGTGGTAATCAAGGTAATAATAGTGGAAGAGCGAGGACTAGTCAGCTTAGACGAGGCAAAAGTGTTCCAAATCGCGAAAGAATGCCAGAAGATACCCCACCGAGATGCACCAGTCCTGGTGCCAGTATTTGTTCCGATTCCGACCTTCCGTATATTTCTTATACCGTGAATCGACCTATCGGAGATTCGCCAAAGATGACTAACAAGCAGTCACAACTTTATAGAGGAAAGAGTATCGGAGCTGGGGAGATTTCGAGGCGAAAAAATAGCTTAGGCACCATGAATCACAGGTATATCAAATCAACTATAAGATATCAATTTACATATATTTCATTAACTCTAAAGTTTGATAAAATATATAATTAAACAATAATAATAATCCTTACATCTTGTTGATATATAATTTTATATTAATTTCCATAATTTTATTTTTTCATGCACATAAAAACTCTTTAATAATGTGTGCAAATGTAATATGTATTACTTTATTATTAGACATTTATTTTATTGTGTCTCATAAAATTAAAATTTTAGAAATACAGTATCTAGTATGCATCAATCTAATGTGACATTTTATCAATTTAATCTCTTTTTCTATTCTATCAGACACACAAAGATTAATACATCGGACAATAAAATTCATAACATTGTGGTGGTGAAGCCAGCTCAAGCAGATCCTACAGCAGATAAAGATCCTGATTTAGTGAAACTGCAGAGTATTCCAATGTTCCTGCCAATTATGCGCGGTACGTTAAATCTACCACCAGGTGTGCGCGATCCAGAAGTTCTAGAAAGACTTGATCCCGTTGGCCTATTTAACTTATGCGCGCGTTATCAACATCATCTTAATACAAATGCGCAGACAATAGCTATGGAACAAGTCAGTCTATGCACAAATGTAGAAGCAGAGTTTGCTAAGGCGCTCAATTTTGCTGTTGATCGGCAGAAAAAGTTTGCCAGATTCGCCGAGCAATTGAATAAGGTACACGAACTCAGTCGCCAGCTCACCAGATGCCATTCGCTTCTTAATCAAACTCTCGAGAGCCTCGAGACGCTCAATAATCTGTTGCCAATAGAAGAGAGACTCGAACCTTTTGTCTGGACCACGGGTTAAATCGGATTCAAATGTTGCAATTGAAAATTATTATTGCTTATATTTTCTTAGCAAAGAAAATTCTATCGATAATCCTCATAATCTTCTAACTTCATAAAATTACAAATTACATTATAAGAATTTTAACATCCAATCTCTACATGCAATGGACAGAAAAATAAGAAAACCAAATTAAGAAAAAGAAAACAAATATACATTATTTATTGAAACACAATTTATTGTCTTTATTAATTCTGAACATACCCTAGCAGCTTCTATTAGCCAATCGCTGGGACTTCAGCCGTCTGTATGCAACAATAGCATCGCTCTGTTGTTTCTCCAGTTTTCTTCTTTCTATCACAGGTAAGTTTTTTCTTTTTCCAGATCGATCCATCACTTTGGAATTAGAAGAAACCTTCGAGTTTTCTAGTAGCGAATTCAGTAACAAATTCTTCGGTTTCCTTTCTTCATTCATTTTCTTTGATTTGATATTCAATTTTGGAGGCTCATGAGCTACTTCGTTAAAGGCAATTTTATCTTGCAAATTTTCAAACTCGTCAGCATTCTTTAATTTCTTTTCTCTTTTCAACTGCAATTTCAGCTTTCGTTTCTCGTTCTTTGTCAAAGAGGTTTCAGTTGTTTTCTTTTTTCTCTTGATGTTTTTGTGAGCTCGCAATATTTCTACATCGTCCTTTTCGCGTTTGCACTTTATTAAGCCCTGAATTTGTCCAGATTCAAGATCCCGTTCAATCTGAACACCATATTTTTTCTCAAATGCAGTCTCCTTAAGAAAGGCATACGTATCCTTGGAAATTCTGTGCAAAAATTGTTCACCAGATTCATTTGGTCGTTGTTGAAACACTGGTACAGTTTTCTCAGGTTTTGCTTTTGGATGCAAACTTAGTTTGGAGTGTTGCTGACCTACGCAGATGAGTGCGTTTTTCTTCTTTCGTTTTCTTTTTGAAATATTGTTGGTCTTTGCGGCTTCCTTTAATTTGATCATGCGTTCAAGACTCTTCGGAATAGCCTGTTCATCCGTGTCCTTCGGTGCAATATTCGTGCGCAATTCTAACCTAAAACAAACTGTATTAATATACATCTATGAGTGTGTTCCATTTGATGCTACTTTCGCTTCAAAGCGTTTGATGGACCAATGAGAGGGAAGAATCTTGCGCTTCGGAACTAAAATAACGTCAAGCGGAGGGCACTTGTACTTCGTTGTTTAACTTAAAAATTGCTAATACTACAACTCACTCCGCTAAACGTTTGGCGCGCTGCTTTTCGACATCCTTGACACCTCGATGTTTCTTCGCCGGTATCTTGCCCATTTGTCTTTTACCGTTTCCCCGATTTAGCGTAAATGTTTAAGGTTACGTTCCAAAACGTAAGTAGACCGAGGAAATTTTACTCGGATGGCCGTTCCGTTCGAATCTCTTTTAAGCCTTTCTGATTGGTTCTAATCGGCCATCGAATAAAATTTTCCTCGGTTACTTACGTTCTGGGGTACGTTCCAAAATGAACTCTCCGAGGAAAATTTTACTCGATAGCCGTTCCGAAATTCTTTTAAGGTCCAGTTCCACGATCCAGTTAATCCGAGTTTAAGTAGTGAATGGATCAATCAGGACTCAGTTTAACGTATTAAACTCCGATTTATTGACTCGAGTTGTGGAACCGGGCTTAGGCCCGATTTCACCAACCGCGTTTAACTTTAATCTTAGTTCAATTCACTCTTTGTCTCTTTCTAAAGGAAGAGTTAAAAGGAGATAAAGAGTGAGTTAAACTAAGATTAAAGTTAAACGCTGTTGATGAAATCGGGCATTAAGGTGCAATTTCATTGACGCTAAAAAGTAGCGTCAACCATTGGTTGAACAAAGAAGTAAGTAGTTGCTTCATTGTTTAACCAATGGTTGACGCTACTTTTTAGCGTCAACCACTTTTAAAGGTGCAATTTCATTGACGCTAGAAACCAGCGGCAAATTAAAATCACTAGACTTTCTTTAGATATGGCGTCAATAAAATAAAGTTCAAACAGTTTCAACTTTTTCAGTGTGTAAAGCGGCCTTTTCATTGACGCTACTTTTTAGCGTCAATGAAATTGCACCTTAAAGATGCGGCCTCATTGACGCTAAAAAGTAGCGTCAACCATTGGTTGAACAATGAAGCAACTATACTTACCTCTTTGTTCAACCAATGGTTGACGCTACTTTTTAGCGTCAATGAGGCCGCACCTTAACAGTTGGCAGCCCTACGAGATAGGCTGTGCAGCACTGCGCGTATATAAAATAAATTTGAAATCGCTTCTAGCCTAACCATCTTCACGCGATCGACTTTATTTGAATTGCACGGCATCGCATCGAATTATGATGCAGCGTCGATTTGTTCGAACGTAATTCGGGACATCGCGATGCTGTATAAGCGTCGAATGAGCACGAATTGTCACGCAAATATGATAAATCACATCTACTCACCGTTCACCGACTGTTCCACAGGCCGCTCCACTCGCTCGCCTCGGGACGTCCCATTCCGATCTTGATGCACACGATATCATCAACGTGAACGCGCGACACTTTATTCGGCACTCCCGATATTCGCTCACATCCGATAATCATCAAGAACGCAAATAACGCGACGCGACTTCGCTCCATCTTCGCGATCGCGCTATCACTGAAATGTGAAAAATAGCTGTCGCGCACTTTCACCGACATATTATGAAAGTCGCGCGATCATCCTTGAACACTTTCGACGCTCTTTCACTCGCGATATTCGTTTAAAAACGGTTAAAAGACGCGAAAAATGCGGACGTACAACGATCCGTGTAACTGCGTATGACTCCGATTCACGTATGACGCGTATGACGTAGAATGACGCGTATGACGTAGCGATCACGCGCTAACATGGCGGCCGAACCAGTGCGCAGAAACGAATGCGCACTGGTTCGGCCGCCATGTTAGCGCGTGATCGCTACGTCATACGCGTCATTCTACGTCATACGCGTCATACGTGAATCGGAGTCATACGCAGTTACACGGATCGTTGTACGTCCGCATTTTTCGCGTCTTTTAACCGTTTTTAAACGAATATCGCGAGTGAAAGAGCGTCGAAAGTGTTCAAGGATGATCGCGCGACTTTCATAATATGTCGGTGAAAGTGCGCGACAGCTATTTTTCACATTTCAGTGATAGCGCGATCGCGAAGATGGAGCGAAGTCGCGTCGCGTTATTTGCGTCCTTGATGATTATCGGATGTGAGCGAATATCGGGAGTGCCGAATAAAGTGTCGCGCGTTCACGTTGATGATATCGTGTGCATCAAGATCGGAATGGGACGTCCCGAGGCGAGCGAGTGGAGCGGCCTGTGGAACAGTCGGTGAACGGTGAGTAGATGTGATTTATCATATTTGCGTGACAATTCGTGCTCATTCGACGCTTATACAGCATCGCGATGTCCCGAATTACGTTCGAACAAATCGACGCTGCATCATAATTCGATGCGATGCCGTGCAATTCAAATAAAGTCGATCGCGTGAAGATGGTTAGGCTAGAAGCGATTTCAAATTTATTTTATATACGCGCAGTGCTGCACAGCCTATCTCGTAGGGCTGCCAACTGTTAAGGTGCAATTTCATTGACGCTAAAAAGTAGCGTCAATGAAAAGGCCGCTTAAGGCCAAAAAATAGAAATTGCGACTAGCACGAGTTGTGATTGGCTTTCGCTTTTCTGGGATGGAATCCGATTGACCACGTCGCCAATTGGCCAATTCAAAATAGAACTTTCTGATTGGTTAATCGTTGCTGGTTACCATAGGTCGATATAATTGGCTGTGGTCAAATTAGACGCTTTTCTGTCAAGATGTAAATATGCCCTAACGTGTTTTTTTTTGCTGCGTTCCGTGCGCGGGAGCCCTAAAAATCCTTCTATAGAATCAGCGTTGGCCAATAAACTTGAAGAAGGAGAAGACGAATCCAGTCTATTTATATTATACGTCTATGGTGTAGGATTTATTAAGGTGTATGTGCACTGTTTTGCGGGCACTCGCGGACGTGTGCAGATATTTATGTCCTTATAACGTGGTTTAATCATTGCTACAAGTTGAAATATGATTCCATATAATTTGCATTCGCGTAATCGTTTTTGTTCACCTTCAATCATTTTGTTCGTCATCCGTCAACGTGCGTGACGTGCGTCAGCGACACTGATGCGAGAACGAGTGTTCTCGCAGATCATCTACTGCGAACGATAATGTCAGGCAGCAGTGATTCCGAGGAGTTCTTCGATGCGGAAGATGACTCGTTTCATCGTACATCGCGGTAATTATCATTTGCGAATTTCCGTTGCGGAATTGTATCATGAATAAATAGTATACATCTTGTGTATTATGTATACATAATTTATTGTATTTGCATTTTGTGGATTATATCGCTATTTTAACCATGATTATTCAAGGATTTCAGGATAACACTACAGATGATCATTGTATGCACGAAATATGTGCATAGTTTTAATTCATTTTTTTATATATTTGATATAGCGTGCATAATCAGAAAATTTTGATTCATGCGTAGCAGTTTTCATAGTTTTTGTAGTTAATTACAGTACATGTAGCTTTGTAGAAATATTTTTAAATATATATAATCTGTATAATTTGTATTTTATGCACACAATATATACATGTATATATATATATATATATTATCCTATAGACTTAATTAGACTTTAGTTATATAAACTTGTAAAAAAAATCAGATAATTTTGCTATATATATGTAAAATATATGATAAGACATTCATATTTAAATAAATTATAAATAAGATAATATATAATTAATTATATCAAATTTGTTTTTTTATAGAAAAATTAAACAACGTGAGTGTACCAATGTCGAAGTGAAGTGTACCAATGTTGAAGCTGATAAAGCATTAGAAGTTTGTAAACAAATTGATGACAATGTTTTTACGAAGCCTGCTATCCCTAAATCAACTATTGATCTAAAGAGTTATATATCTGTAGATTGTGAGGAAAATAAAGATAAACTTGTAAGTATATATTCTAAATTTGAACATATATGATAAAATATATATATATATATATATATATATATATATATGTATATATATATATATAGGGTGAGTTTTATTTCGTGTGTCAATTTTTTTATCATGCAGGAGATTATCGACTATAATAAATTGATTGGTACATAAATGTCAATTATTTGAATCAACCGTATTGAAGGTTTGAATATAATGTGTACAATAATAATAATAAATATGTAGCTTTAATAATAATAAATCCATACTAAATAATTTCAGCTTTTAATTTGCTTTAATTTTATACATTATATTCGGGCCTTTGATACAGTCAATCCAAATAATTGACATTTATGTATCGATCAATTTATTATGCAGTCAGTGATCTTTTGCATAATAAAAGGATTAGCATACAAAATAAAACTCATCCTGTATATATATATATATATATATGTTTTACATATATATATATATAAATATATATATTGTACATGAAGGATACAGTATATCATGCAGTTTGAATTTTTTATAAAATTGAAAAACAAAATTAAATATATTTAATACTTTATAAAATTGTATCTTGTATTATGATGACGTTTCATCTATCTTTATCCTGCATTTAAAAGGCTTCTTTCGAAAAAAAAATTTTAATTTTAACATATAAAATATTTTAGGTCGAAGGTGGTGTGGAATCAACTACAGATAAAATTGTAGGGAGGAAGCGATTTCGCGAACTTCGACAACGTATGCAAACAGAGGACGATGATATTCCGATTAATAATTCTCCCCCAGATAGTCAGACATCTTCCATTGAGGGTGTTTATCCCGCTCCTTCGAAAACAACTCATCCATTTAGAATCATAGAACATGATACTCTCAGTTTACAAAGTATGACTTCTTTAGGACGAGTTGGACGAATTTTGGCAGGAGCCACAGATAATACTTCCGGTGTGCTTATACCTGGTTTATCCCAATGTCCTCCTCCCAATGCCCTTACCCGTGAAGGTCAAATGTCCTCCATTGCTAGTATTCCAAGCAAAGATGAGGACACAACCTCTGGTAAAGTGTCCCAATCTTCGAGCGTTCTTACATTATCAGGGGATGTCCTACAGGAATCTTCTATTAACGGCCGATCCAATTATCCTTCTCATTCGCAAAGCGACAAGACTGTTATACTTCAAGAACCTGACGTTATCGCGAGTACAAAAAATAATGGGAAATTAACAGAAGATGTTGCCATTTCTGGTGTGCCCGTTGCTCCTCCGCGTCGTAAAAAAAAATCAAAACCTCATACACCTACTGACCTCACTGTAAGATATATTTTTATTATGATCAATATCACTTAATAATTAATAGAGATATGATTTACTCAATGGTTAAATAATATAATTAATTTCAGCCTTCTGCGGAAACACTTGTACCCGCATCGCCGCTTCCAAGTCCAGCGAGCACTATAGAATCGATTACTAGAGAATTCGAGCACTCTCTTGATATCCGATCCGCCACGAAAGGGCAATATGTTGTTAAACCGCAGGTAAAAATTCTTTTTCTTTTATATAATAATAAATAATAATAATACTATAATGTGATAAAAAGAATCATATATATAAATTATAATAAATGTAAATAAATATATGGAAAAAAATATATATATATATATATATATATATATATATATATAATGTACATAATGTATAATAGGATGAGGATAAATTGAAAGCAGAAGGGCCATCTTCCGAGGAATTGGAAAGGGTGGAAAGAATGAAAGCAGATCTGTTTAGTCGAACGATCGAAAAGTCCAGTAGTCCATTAGGATCAGCATCGAGCAACAGTATTGGCCGTTATTCCTTGGGTCCGCATAAGTTATCAAGCATGAGTCCACAAAGTTCCAGAGAAAGGCGTAAATCTGCTGGTGACCAAGATATGATCAAACAGTTAAATATGTTTGTGAGGACTAGGACAGATTCTGGCAAGCGTCTTACCGATATGGTTCGTTATCGCATCTATAAATTATTTTAAACAGATGATATTCAGACAGCAGATATTCTACATTAGGAATATTAATGAAATAAAATATGTTAAGCTATCTGTTCTTACAGGAAATTTTGGAGCAAGTGCCTGTAACAAATTTAGATACAGGAGAACAGGTGCCATTAAGTATAGCAGAAGATAAATTACCACAGTGTATTAATCCCTTGTCATTACATATTATGAGACTCACTAAATCTAAATACATTAGCAATTCTAGTCTTGAGAAAGAAAAAGAAAGTGATGAGGAAAGCGTAGATAGTAAAATGTCTAGTATACCTCCAGACGAAGATGTGTCTGTAGATAAAGTTCGTAAACGAACACAAAAGTTGAAACGATTTTTAGGATCTACTGTCAAAAAGACTATGAATAAAGCCAAATCCATTGCGCACGATGTATCGCATGCGAGACACAAAGAAGATGTTATGGATATAGTGGACGAAGTTTATCCTGGTGAGCAACAATATATAAAGTTGAAGGCGTCAAATAGTCACAAAGGTCCGTATGAATTCAGTTGTCTGCAGCATGTTCAAGATCTTAGCGGAGAACATATAGGACCTGTTTGGTGTATGAAATTCTCCACTTGCGGCCGACTGTTGGCCACTGCGGGACAAGATCGAGTTTTGAGAATTTGGATTTTACGAGATGCTTTTACATATTTTCAGGATATGCGTACAAAATATAATGCGGAAAAGGTCAGTCCTACTCCTTCGCAGGAATCGTTAGTTTCACAGCAATCTATGGAAGATCCTAACATTGTGGCTAGTGCCTTCAGTGAAATTGAAGGAACAAAAAGTCCATTCATGCCAAAGCCGTTTTGTACATACACTGGTCATATCTCTGATTTGCTTGATGTTTCATGGTCTAAGAACTATTTTGTTTTATCTTCATCGATGGATAAAACTGTGCGACTTTGGCATATATCTCGCAAGGAATGTTTATGCTGCTTTCAACATATTGATTTTGTCACTGCTATAGTATTTCATCCACGGGACGATCGATACTTTCTTTCAGGATCGCTTGATGGCAAATTGCGCTTATGGAATATTCCAGATAAAAAAGTTGCCGTATGGAATGAAGTAGACGGGCAAACGAAATTAATTACCGCGGCGAATTTTTGTCAAAACGGAAAATTTGCTGTTGTAGGATCGTATGATGGTAGATGTATATTTTACAATACAGATCAATTGAAATACCACACGCAAATACATGTACGATCGACAAGAGGTAAAAATTCCACCGGTCGCAAAATTAGTGGAATCGAACCTATGCCGGGAGAAGACAAAATTTTAGTTACATCGAACGATAGTCGTATTCGTTTATACGATTTGAGAGACTTAAACTTATCGTGTAAATACAAGGGATACGTTAACATTAGTAGTCAAATTAAAGCAAGTTTTAGTCCAGACGGACAATATATAGTCAGCGGTTCTGAAAATCAATGCATTTATATTTGGAAAACCCATCATGATTATTCCAAATTTTCTAGTGTCCGTAGGGATCGAAATGATTTCTGGGAAGGTATAAAGGCTCACAATGCTGTAGTAACTTGTGCCGTATTTGCGCCGAATCCAGATAGTATTATTAAACAAATTGAGGCGAGAGAACAATGGGAGAGCAAAGAGGAGGCAAAAAGCGTAGATAGTTCTAACATAGGTGTTGTTCCCGTTGATCCTGTCGTCGAACAACGCACTAAAGGCTGTGGAGGCCATGTCCTTGTGAGTGCCGATTTCAATGGATGTATTAAGGTTTTTTTAAACAAAACAAAACCTAAACATAGCTCTCTACCGGCATCTGCACTCGCATAATGTAATAATATTGAATATTTGCGTGATATTAAATACAAATAACACGTATATGCTTATATCCACGCGTATAAATAATCTTTTTGTCTCTTGTGTGTATGCCAACTTTACTATGCGCTCGTTTGAATTAAGAAATACAAAATTGTATACAATAATTTCTTTAATAGCATTCTTATGTTGAATAGCATTATTATTTTAATATTGTATGTCTATGTGCATGAAAGTAATAATTTTAAATAATTTATATATATATATATATATATATATATATATATATACACACACACACACACATATATATAACAAATATTTTCATAGATTGTACTAAAAGTTTTAAATTAAAAAATTTAAGTTTAATAACAATTAATATGTGTTATTTCAAAACACATATGCCATAAATGTACAATTTTAACAAATTTTAACAAGTTATCGAATTGAATTATTGAATTCTTTTTTGTATATCAAGTCTTTTTCGCACTTTAATATTTTCTTTATGAAAATTTTTTTTTATCTTGTGTTTTTATTACAATTTGATAGTGCTGGTCTCACTGTTACCATAAAGTTACTCTTTCATAAGAGATTTATCAAAATTATGTCGTAGAATGATAATGTAAGTTATCAGTAAGAAATGTGACAACTATGGAAAATTGTTTTCATGTATTATACTATAATCATTTCTATATATATATATATATGTATAATAAAAACAGCAAAAATAAGGGCACCTTGGTGAAGACAAAGTATAAAAAAATTATGCAAACAATAGCGATATATTCCAATAGCTCATTTTATTGAGTATATATTGGATTTATAAATTTTTATAAATTATTCGATTATTTATAGTAATAAAATTTGAAATAGGAATTGCTAATTTTTGCAGATATTGAATCAGATTTTAAGTAAGATACTGATTTCTAAGTCACATTCTTCTAGAACACAATAGCTAGTATAACGCATCGAGGACAATATCAAAGATGTTTTGAAGCAAAAATACATCATGGTTACGTTTTTCTACGTACTGTATAGAATATATAACGGCGTTTTTATTGTACAGTTTTTTAGATTAACATATATTACAGGATGTGCTATTATTTTATTTATGCTATGTACATACGCATCAATTTTCACAATGTGCATACATATCTAGTTTACTTTGTATATTAATATACAGAATGTGTTGTGTAGAAAACTGAATACAAGTATAAAGGCTGTAATTTTCTTGTTCAAAGATATTGAAAATATAGAATAAACAATTTTTGTTTCTTATAAAACTATGTTTTGAAAAAAGTGACTAAAATTTGAAAAATTTATAACATGTTAATTATTTCTCAGCTATAAGCTCAAACAATCTATTGTTGTTTAAATATTTATTTCGATAATGACTATTAAAATGTGTAGAAAAGTAAACATTCTTTTATTCTGTTAAAAAAAATCACATATATTTTATGTATATAATTTTTGAACGAGAAATTATTTTCTTAATTGTAGAATTATTGAAGCTATATTTCACGATCCATCTTATGTTACATAGAAATCATACACTCACGATACTCGCTATCTAGAGTTTAATGTTATGGAATATATATATATATATATATGTGTGTGTGTGTGTGTGTGTGTACACACACACACATACACCGCATTGAATTTATATTAATACGTGCAAAACACGTACTTCGCGTTCTGTCAATTATAAATATAATGGAAATTATTCTTAAGAATAAATTTGTTCTGTAAGAAGTAGTTCAATACTCTTTATTCAAGATTTCGTACACATTACAATTTGTATCTAATTTTTTCAAGATGTGTTTCTAGTATAAGGTATATCTCTAAAAAGTATATTGCAACTTTTCCACGCGCTAAGTCACATGCTAAGTCAAGTAATATGAATAGTACTATAGGTATAATGGCATTACACAGTAATGCATAGAGCTGTGAATGCAATACTCCCAGCGGCGTAGAAAAGATATGCAATTATCGTGAATCATGCGAAACGATATCTTTTACGATCCTGAACTTGATAGATCTGAGAATAATTCGTTAGAGTATATTAGAAAGTCTTACAGTTTATTCCTGAAAAATTCCCGTGTGTAATTTTGAAACAGAATAAGATAAAAGATACAAGAAATACGATTACAATTATTTGAATTTTACAGTAATGAGCGGTATGAGTTTTGTTAGATAATGTAAAATATTAATATTTCACATTCACTGTTTTACAGCTATGAAAAGTGTGCGCCCTAAAAACAATCTTTGATTTGCGAACTGTGTGCCTATGTTTATGTCAAAATAGTATAATGCGATATATGTATGTATGCATATATGTAACATGCATATATTTCGTCTCACACAGCAAGTAGTTTTGAATTGGAACGCATCGTAGCTACAAAATTAAACTATATCCCGATTTCTTAAATGTAAATACACATATAGCAAAATTCTAGATATTTTGTATAAATGCAATTGTAAATATAATAGTACATACATCAATATCGTTGTATCGATGATACACAGCAAAACTTAAAAAAAAATCTTACAGCTCCATAAAAATTTATTAAAAGGTCACGAAAAACTTACAAGTAAAAGTTTCAAAACAGCGTGAAGCAGTGTAAAATAGCGTAAGATAGCGTCAAAATTGCCTAAAAAATGTACAATAGATGGAATAGGAAGATTATATAAATAAAACAACTGAAATAAATGAGTTGGATAACTATATTCCTTTAAATTTGAATTTAAGTTAACGACAAAAAATATAATATTATTTTAATTTAAATAAAATTTATTATAATTTATATAATATTTCTTATATATTATCTATATAAATAGTATTGATTATTTATAATACATAAATATATTATAAATGATTATAATATTTATTATTAATAAATATTCATATTCAAAATAGGATTATTAATATTCATATTCAAAATAGGATTATTAGATTTGAATATGAGCGGGAGTTGCAGAAAAATGGCGGACCAATCAAAAGTGGCCCCCTGATGGTCAGTCTTTTACTCTTATTAGAGGGTCTCTAGTCGACCCTTAAATTCTTGAACGTTAGTTGAACCTCAGTTCAATATCAGTATTGTAACTTAAGAATGTATTTATGTGAATAAATTTGATAGAAGGAAGAGAGATAAATGTAATTTCGTAGTGTGTAAGTTTTTATATATATAGTACATATATATATTCTATTTTTGTTAAATTAATTATACGTTTTTTGAAAATATTTCGTTGCCTCATACATAACAATTTATTATTGTTTTTAAGAATAACATTGTTTAGCTACTTTATTCTTTTATAGATTAAATGATGCATATTTCTAAAACAGTACACTTTGTATAAAAAAAGGAGGAGGAAAACAGAAAGATGTATCGATCCTATAACTATCTGAATTTTATTCAAAACATAACATGTCGATATCAAGCCGATCCATTATGTATATTCCAGATTGGAATAAACAAAAGACATACCAGTATTTTAATAACGCCCAAGTATGATATACAATACAAAGTACGTATGTTTTCGTATTCTCAAAAAGTGTGTGCTAATAAAAAAATAGGCAGACATGAGAATAGCAGATGGATCAGCATAGCAAGATTTTTATCTGATGATACAAAGATTAAGGATAAGTCTGAAAAGAAACTAGCTGAAGATGTACAGCAGAAAGTGGTAGAGTTAAAGGAAGAGAAATTGGGTAAATTAAAAGAGAGAATATTAAATATAGAACCAATTGATTCTAGTGATGATAAGGAAAAAGGAAAAGAACCAACAAAATTTGTTGAAAAACAATCTACAGAATCCAAAGAATTGCCAAAGGATGATGTTATGTCGAAAAAAGGTAATTTATTAAATATTGATTTATATCTAACTTAAATTTATTTTTGATGACATATTTGTAGCGAAAAAGAGAAACAAAGTTGATAAATCGACTTCTTCCTTGGAACGTAATTTTATTACACCTGTGAGAGCTATGTCGGACTTTTTATTAAAGCCTTCTGATTTGCAATCTTTACCAAAAACAAAGAGACGTTCCCCATATGAGCTTGAACCACCTATTACAGTTTACTGGAGGAAAGATGTTGAGGCTAAGTGAGAAAAAAAAATTTTGTTTCTCTCTTTTTAATAAAATCTATTTATATCAACTATTTAATAAACTCTTCTATTCTTATATATTATGATACATTCAATTGCAAGCGCAATTTATTTAAATATTAAATATAAGTTCTATTTATTTACAGAGCTTTGGAAGTTTGGGGATCTCAAGAAGCTTTGCTAAAAGAACTTTTGAAAAAGGAGGTAGAGCGAAAGATTTATCAGCAAAGTAAATATTAATATAATTTTATATCTAATTTTTTGTTCATTTGTTTAATTGTTTAAAATTATTACTTCTATAAAACAGAACTATTTTCTTGCCCCTTTGAGACAAAAAGTATTTGTTTAGAAGTTGTTTATCCATCTTACAGACCATTTACCATATGTCCTGATAATATAATAGACACATTTTTCTTAATAAAATAATAATTGATGCAAAGATTGAAATCTAAGCTTTTCATCACAGATGTTTTTACGGTCAAGAGAAGATTGAGAGATTACAGGCGAGAAATTGGCAATAAGACAGAAATAGTTCAAAAGGAGGGTCTATTTGGAAGGTCTGGCAAAGTAATATTGACTGCAATAGCCATGTATGTATTGAATTGATAACCATGATTAAACTGAATTTACACTTATCATATAATTATATAAAGATTTCTTCGATTAATTTATTTGCTTTTTTTTTCTTTTTCAGAAATGCCAGTAATTTCATATGCAAATTGATTGCTTGGTTATACACTGGCTCGCATAGCATGTTTTCTGAATGTATACATTCTGCAGCAGACACTTGTAATCAACTAATTCTAGCCTATGGTATTCATAAGTCAGTGCAGGTAAATCAAATACTTTTAGAATCTCTGAATAGCGTTTCTAATCTGTCATGTAAATAATTTTACAGAATCCTGATCCGGATCACCCTTATGGTTATACAAACATGAAGTACGTCTCCTCATTGATATCAGGCGTAGGAATCTTTTGTGTTGGCACTGGTCTTTCCATCTATCACGGAATTCACGGTCTTCTTTTTCCCGCACCGTTGGATTCTTTTTTTTGGGCATATTTCGTCTTAGGTGGATCCTTGTTATCAGAAGGAGCAACTTTAATGATAGCCTTGCATTCTATCCGGAGAGGTGCAGAGGAAAAGAAAGAAAGCTTTAAACAATTCGTCTTGGAAGGACAAGATCCATCTGTGAATGTTGTGCTAATGGAAGATTTTGCAGCTGTAAGAGTTATTATTTTTATCTTATCTAAGCTCTTTACATATAACCTAAACTGTTATTTTAAATCAACGTAAAGTCTTGCGCAAATTTTAAAGACAAAATTTTATTTAATCAAAAAAAAAAGAAAACTTGTTGGAAAGAAATATTTAGTATGCCTTGAAATCCCATAAAAAATTAAATATTTTATTATATATTTTATTATTTTTTATTATATTTTATTATATTCTCGGAGAGATTTCTAATCCTAATGTCATTCAGGTACTTGGAGTTATTGTCGCAGCAGGATGTATGGGATTGACTTCATATCTAGAAAATTCAATGTTTGACGCCTTTGGTTCGCTTCTCGTAGGCGGATTGCTCGGTGGAGTTGCATCCTTTATAATTTATTCGAATGTTGCTGCGCTTATAGGAAGAAGTATATCACAGGAGAATCTGGATAAAATTAATGCCGAATTAGAAGCAGATATAATGGTAATGTTGCCCTTAAGATATTATCTATGCAATATCCATTATATTTTTCGGATATATTCATTTCTATGCCAAATTTAGGTCCGTGCAATTCACGATGTGAAAGGCATTGACATGGGTAATCATTTGGTGCGATACAAAGCTGAATTAGATTTTGACGGACGAGAACTCACAAGGTCTTATCTAGACAAGCATGATCTTACGCTAATGTTGGAGGTACATAGACATGAGATTTTTATTTTTATTGAATATGTAGTGTAATATATGTAATATTGTATCAATAAGTATCGAATCCCTTATTGCAGGAAGTGAAAAGCATGCAAAATATTGAAGAGCTAGAGGCGTTTTTATTGAAACATGGTGAAAATATTGTAGACATGCTCGGTGGAGAAATTGATAGAATAGAATTAAAATTAAAGGTATGTGTATGTATGTATATATGTTTGTGTGTGTATAATTAATATATATATATTAATTATACACGCAAATATATATATATATATATATATATATATATATATATATATATATATATCCATCTATAATATGATGCAAAATTGTTAACGATTAATTTTTTTTCAGAAAAGTCATCCAGAAATACGACATTGTGATTTAGAAATTCTATAAAGAAAAATCGTTAGGGGGGATGGTTCAAGTAAATTTTAAAACTTGTAGAAAAAATTTCTCATTTTTTTCTTTCTCCTTCTGTCCTTATAGATGTAAATTATTATTTATAACATCTCTTTCAATCCGAGACATTAATTTAACATGACAAATGGTTCTACTGTAGGATAGAAGCTGTCTCATTTACTCTTTTTAGAAAAATCACTTTTTGTAAATATTTTATGTAAGTTATGTACAATTGTGAGTTGCAAAGATTCTTATCTCTCACATCATTCAGCACAATAAATAAACAGAAATTTCTTATAAATATTAATATGTTCCATGCTTTTAAAGTTTCCTTTGCCTTATTCATGTACCTTTTCTTAAAGATATGAAAGATCTATTTTACAAAGAGAGAACTTTATAAATAGTATTAAAATAAAATTAATATGAGAATAAAATTTTACGAAATTTGTTTTATTAATATCAATTATGAATATTAATCGAAAAAAAGGCAAAGTGAAATTTTCGATAATTTCTCATTGATAACTTTGCTGCATTGATTTTTCGAGCTGGTCTCCACAGAGCTTTATAAGCACAACAAAGCGTTACTACGGACGCGTCGTGACAGAAGTCTGAACCTGAACCTGAACGATCCAAAACAGTCGCGGAGTGGATAGTTATAAAAAATTGAATTGTTTTAAACACGTTTAAAAAAATTCTTAATGCAATCATTCATAAATAAGTATTGCGCAAATACTTTACGAAGAAATTTTAAAGGACTTGTGTGCGAAACTGATTGCGAAATAATACAAAGCAATAGGAAGGCAGTTGAATGAGTGATGCATCGGGATCTAAAATGGCACGTGGAAATCGAGCTTTCTGTGAACGAAGACCTACGACGACCGATGTACCATTCGAGCAGAATGACAGTGAGGACGATCCTTCCGTTCACGCTGTAGATAATGACAGCTACGTGAAACGCGGTAATAAACCGCAAAAACGATGGACCAGCTCAGAAGATTCCGGCCGACCCTACAACCGGGAAATCAAAACAGTTTGTATTATTTATGAAGCCAAAATTTTTTAAATCCTGTAATGCCTTCATAATTAATGAATTTAATTTTATACATAATATAATTATAAATAATAAATTATATTTTATTAATTAATAATAATCTATTGTAATAATTTCATTACAAATTAATAAATGATTAATTCCGAATTTACATTTGTAATATCTGTCTTTTGCTGTCGAAATACAGCAATATTATATTATCAATTTGATGAACCTCTAGTTGTCGCCTCATTTATATAACGCCAAATTTAAAAAAAAGTCACATATTTGTATAAATAAAAAAAAATGCATTGCCATTGAATTCTCCATTCAACATAGAGTTTTTTCGGGAAGCAAGACAACACCGAAGATACTGAAACTGTCTCTTATTCTCCGGATGTTAAGAGTAATAGTAATAAGTCTCATAGAACCGAGACACATGTTCATGGAAAAGCGTGTTATTCTAACATTCACGAAAGTGAAGAAAGAAATACATCGAGATCTCTCGAGGGAAGAAGAAGGAAACGCAGTAAACGGATCGAAAAACGAAAGCTTAAGGAACGACCTCGCACGACAAATCGCGAACATATCGACACCGGATCTTCTTCTACAAAACATTACAGAGATGATAATTACAGTGATAAATCGCGAAAAAATACTATTCTCCGAGGTAAATGTATATCATCTTATATATCTTTTAAAAAGGATGTATCTTACGTCCGCGCGTTATATTAAATGTGCTAATGTGAAATTTTAATATTTGCCATGCAATAGTGAAATTTAAAATTAATAATTTTCTATGCAAGCGGACGATAATGAAGTACCTATCACGGAAATCTTGAAGAAGGCTCAAGAAAATGCACGCACAAAGTACGAGGAACCTGTACCACTTCCGGAATTGACTACAGACACCATTTATATTCAAGGCAGGAGTGGCTTTAGCGCCGTGAAAATTACCGGATCGAGACGTGCTTTGAGAGATGATACGCCACGTGTAACAGAGGAAGGAAAGAATCGTGATTCCGCGGAGACTCGAATACACGCGCTTATAAAAGTGGCTATCACGGGCCAGAAATTTTGGAAGTGCACGGGACTTGTTTATCAGGGTCTCTTGGGCGGAATGGCACTCTTGCATTTCATTATGGTAAAGCACTTTCTTTTTAAGCGCAAAGATTTTCCAAGGTAAATTTTCTAACGCAAACCGCGATATTCACTTCACATATCATTTGTGCTTTATCGATTTGCAGATTCATATTTTTTTCAACACTTCGATGGAATTCATATCGAATTATTCCGCTTTTTCCGAGGTCTATACAAATATATTTTCCTTTTTAATCGCTCTCTGCGTCATTTCCATCTTCGATAAGTATGCTCGATGCTGAAAAAAATACTTTCTGTAATTTAACGTTCGTGTTTAGGTATTGTCAATTTTAGAGGAAATTTTTATGATTCCAGATTCGATCTGGCGCGACTTGATATGGATCATTTACGTGAAATCTACATGGATCATGCGAAAACCGCGATCGCTATTCCGCTTTATCTACTAACATTTAGCTTTCACCAAGCATCGTTAAAGATCGACGATCAGTTAGCTCTAATACATTATCGTAATATCAACGAAACCACGTGGCCAAACGTAAGCATATTTTGCGACGACTTAATTAACCGGCACAAAACTGTCCGTAGAAAATTTTCAATTTGTATCTGTATCTATAAATTTTCCAGAATACAGCACAAGAAACTTTACTCGAAGAATTACAGGGCTGGCAGAAGATAACAATGTCGAAAGATCTTCTCGCGGTTTTTGCTTGGCTATTTGTTGCTCTTGGAACGCGAGACGACATGCTACTGATGCATCTCGAATCGATGAAGCAGTATGCAGCAAGCGATACGGAATCTCCTAGATGACGTTCGACAAAAATAATTTTCATTGTCAAACAACACACGCAAACCTGTCCAAAGTTCTTCCGCACGATTATACTAGACTCGTTATCGTAAAATACATTGAAATACAAATCTGATAGAATAATTACTTATTTACCCGAAAGTAATACTTACCGAGTCGATCCAGATGCAGAAAATGCATCGGTAAATCTCGGAGAAAAGGTACGATTTAAACATTTATTCGTAACAGAATAGTGTTTGATATGTACAATATGTATAAAGTTTTTCTAGATACTAATCGATAATACACGTATACATGATAGCAAAGAGGACAATAATATATATGACAATATACACACACACATATACATATATATACATGTGCGTGTATATGTTAAGATTCAAATAATATGACTTAATGGTACAATAGTAAAATATGTTTGGACTTTCTCGAGCGGGCGACCTCGGCGGATCCGCAATTGCAAGAATGTATAATTGTCAATAATTGACTGCCAAATAATTCATATATCAAAATCTATAACAGGATATACGCGATAGAGAGAAATGCGCGTGCGATGACAATCGTTATAAAATGCGTGTATTTTCGGAAATTGTTTGCGATTGCGGATTCGAGCGGCGCGTTTGTACGAGAAAGGAAGCGTTTATTATAAATAATGTGCAAAGGCTTGTACTCATTGCGAAGCAACAGATAAATATATACATGCCGTTTGTGAAATTTGTTACACGATTCTAAGCTCTCTCTCTCCCTTCTTCGTTTCGCCTGGTTTTTCTTTGAACAAATTTACATCGCCACAACGCTCTTTATACGCGTATTCTAAAATATCTCTGAGCTTAACAATATCATCAAGGCACTGTTTGCAGTTCTATCCGATGTCTAAGTCGATTTTAGACTTGTCCTCGCTGTCGGAGATACGAATCACGATCCATCATCGAGTTTATAACAAATGGTTACCCGATTATTTATTCTTCGACGAGCAAGAGACAAAAAGGAGTAAGATGTAAATAAACTCGATGACGATGCGATTCGATCGTAGGAAAATTGACATTACTCGATTGAATCAGATCTTATTGTTGCGCGGGAAAAGTCAGACAGTCGTGTTAATTTTTTCCTTACGCAGGAGAATTTCTTTTTCGTCTTTTTCAGCTTCTATTGCGATGCGCTTTAATCGATTTTTAATAGATTGCAATTAAATATTATGCAAATTCGCAATGGCAGTATATGAAGTTCGGCGCTTTCGCGAGAGCTCGCCGAGCTCGAAAAATATTTTACGCTCGGAGAGATTTTTTTTTAAGAGATTATATTTTTAACGTCACGACTGACGATTGCGTTATAAAAAAGAATTCAAGTTCGTGTGTCATCATCCGAAAGAAAATGTCACACACAGAAAATATAGTCAAACACCATTGACAGCAACAGCTACAATCGTGAGTTACGCAGTCTCGATTAGCTCCGTATCGATCGTGAACAATTGTCGAGATAATTTTAACCGGTCCAGCGTGCACATACCGGCTGTCCACACATGGTCGTTTATCAAAATTGTCTTTGTAATTACTTGCGTAGAGAAACGCTGCTTCAGAAAACACTACAGTCAACTTTAAATTTATCGATATTGCTCCCCGGGCTGATAGAAATTCCGAAATTTCATACGATAAAGTAGATACCATTACAAATTACATGGAAGATGCGAATAAAATCGACTGACTTTAAAAATCTACACTTTTCTTGTATTTCGTAATGGCATTCGAGAAATTAATTTAAGATCGTCGACAATGGACGAATTTGAAATTAAACTTCGATGCACAATCGTATTCAATGATGAGAAAAGTATCTTTCTCTTCTAGTGATAGCGATCCAGGACGTTGAATCGATCTTTAAACACGATTTTTCTTTTATCTTTGAACTTTCACTCTTCCTCTTCGAATTCTTCATTTTGCTCAGTCGCGAGAAGCGAGACGACGAAAACGGCATCGCTTCTTATTCGCTACCTCGAATTTCACTTATTGATATCTTTCCGAGAGTATAGAGAGGGGGGGAGGGAGTCGCAAATAAGGGTCCGTTGTCGAGGACGGTTCCCTTTCATCCGAACGTTCCCGCGACTATAATCGCGCGTCCTTCCGCCCCTACTCCGACGATCAAACGGACTCCGAGTTGTTCTGCATGTATCTGCACCACGACTGGCCGTTATTATTGCCCTCGGGGCAATGAAGCAATTCTCAGTCATCGAAGTCGTGCCTGAGCTTGATGTAGAGGCAGGAACCGAGAACGATGCCGAAGAGCTCGAGGACCGACAGGCCGAGCCCGACGGCGCCCAGGATTATCAGATGGTCCTTCGTCGTTTCCAGGAACTTGTAAATGCAGCCCTAGGTAAACAAAATTAGATTTAGCGGGGATTCAAGCAGATGTAAAAGGTGCTTTATTTGGGCGAAAGCTCAATTTCCGCAAGGCGATATTTGTCTTAACGAACTGTGCCGACTCTTACGCGAAGTCAAAAGTACAAACGCGCGAATCATAAATGCGACTTTTGGCTCTTTGTCACTTTACGACAATACATACATTACACAGGATGTTCCAGACCACCCCTTTTAAAATGAAAGTAAATGGTTTTTATAAAAAATCGCGAACAATTTTTAAGTAAATCGGATACGCTCTATCAAATGGTGATATTTTCAACTTTTGATTCCGACCGGAAATACATCATTCGGATCGGAAGTTGAATTTTTTTAGGGGAACATGGTACTTTTTATTAAAGATTCGAATTGTATGTGAAAAAATAAGAAACTTTTGTATCAAGCGTTTTTTTTTAAAGTGCCTCTGTCAATCTTAAAATTGACCTTAAAAGTAACTGTGATGAACTTTCAAGGTCAATTTTAAGATTGACAGAGGCACTTCCAAAAAAAACGCTTGATACAAAAGTTTCTTATTTTTTCACGTACAATTCGAATTTGTAATAAAAAGTACCATGTTCCCTTAAAAAAATTCAACTTCCGATCCGAATGGCGTATTTCCGGTCGGAATCAAAAGTTGAAAATATCACCATTTGATAGAGCGTATCCGATTTACTTAAAAATTGTTCGCGATTTTTGATAAAAGCCATTTATTTTCATTTTAAAAGGGATATATGGGTGGTCTGGGACACCCTGTATATCCAAAGTTACAAGTCCACTTTAAAAGGAATATATCGAACGCGTGGTATTCAATTCAGCTTAATATCGCGTTTGATAATCGTGGAAAGTCGTGGAAAGCTAGAGAAACTCTAGCGAAGCCGTGGCAAACATACCGTGTATTGTATATTGGAGGGATGATCCCTTTTCCCGCAAAGTAACGTCGGCGTCTTGCAGCAGCTGTCAGGTACAACGCTACCGTTCCTAAGGACTTCCTCGTCTTTATGCCACTCGCTCATAACCCAGTCTTCAAATCTCAAGGCACCGCAGCATTTGAACTGCAAATTCCAATAATAATGTCTTTCGCGATAATACATATCGAGTAAGAAACCAAGCAAATTTGGTCGCTTGCTTTATGAAAGTTTAACGTTTGTTTCAGCCACTTTGATACCAAGGAAACTTCAATTATATCGAAAATGGAAAAAAATGACTCAATAATTTATAAACTTTTTTGCGAGACATTTAAAAATAAATTCCAAGTTTAAATTTTTTTAAATTATCAAATTTTATTTATTCAAAAAACATTATTCTGATTTCTTAAAAAATTTCTAGGAGGATATAAAAATACAATTCTCAAACTGCATTAACTTGTTAGTGACATCTTTCTCATTCTCCAGTTCCGTTTCTCGATCTGTGCAATAAAATACACGAGGATAAGAAAGGAGACGATAAGCGACGAGATGATAGAAGCGATAACAACGATAATAGACGCACGCGCGCGATAATAACGATAACACGTTATACAGCGGGGAGTCATTGAGGGAGGAGAGGGGATCGAGGAAGGATGGAAAGAGGCAGATTAATGGAGGTGAGAAACCTCTTTCGGCGGGAGCAAGTTAAATGGTAACTTTAATGCGGGCACGTAATCCGGCGGGATTCATCGCACGCCGAAACTATTAGATATAAACGCGATAAACACGATTTCTACAGGTTCCTTTACACATGCAGGTCAAGACGAATCTCGTCTACGCATTCGAATCCTCTTTGACCATGCATACATACATATATATATATATATATATATATATACAGGATGTCCTAGTTATCTTCCGTCATCTTTCAAAGACAGATTCCTGGGATCATTTGAAGACAATTTTTCCTCAGCGAAGATGTCAATGAAGACCATCATTTTTTGTATGTTCCCGATTTTTGTCATCATATATCTTTGCAATTAAGTCTTAAATTAAAACTCAACTAAAGTAAACTCTATTTAAAATTAATCAAAGAATGTGGTTTTGTTAATATTTTATTTCTACAAAGTTTAGTTTAAAACCCCTTATTTCCAATTACTTATAATTCGAAAATTATTAGTGTCTTGACATTTTCGTGGAGGAAAAATCGTCTTCAGATGATCCCAGAAAGCTGTCTTTAAAAGATGACGGAAATTAACTGGGACACCCTGTATCTGAAATGATGCACTAAACTTTAGGAGAGTATTCTAGAGGTCAAAATAAGACTTTTTCCTATGAACTTTTTCCGAGTTAGAGGCCCCTAAAGTTTAGGGAAAAGATTAAAAATTGGTTGTATTTCAGAAAAAAAGGTTTTGATGTTACCTATCATCCTCACTTGAGAAATAAATAGATTTGCGTTACGGATTAATTTCACACATTTTCAAAATTTAGCTCGGAGAGAGGTTCATTTGCGGACCCATATTCATAAGAAAAAAGAAGTCTTATTTTGATCTCTAGAATACGCTCCTAAAGTTTAGTGCATCATTTCAGATACACCCTGTATATATACAGAGTGTCCCTGATATACAGGTCCTTGATCCCACTATATACAAGCATTTGTAAGGAGGTAGAGACCAGTAAACTGAACAGAAGTCCTATACTATTTTACAATTTTCGCAATAATAACAGAAATATTAAATATTAAAATTGGACAAATGAAAGGAGCGCTCCTTTCTTTCGTCTAATTTTAATATTTAATATTTCTGTTATTGTTGCAAAAATTGTAACACGGTGAACCGTATTATAGCTCGAATGGTTAAGCGTTTCTCATTCGATTGTAATATTTAATATTTCTGTTATTATTGCGAAAATCGTAAAACGATATAAGACTTTTCTATTCAGTTTACTGCATTCTACCTCCTTACAAGCGCTTGTATATAGCGCTCTGGGACACCCTATATATGCACTGGAAGCGCGGATTGGCTACAGATGTATAGCTCCAGGGAGTATTCTTGATTCAACGCTGTTCCATTTTTGGAGGAAAGATACTATTACGAGCGATACGACTTTGGTAAATGATCTTTCTTTAAAATTTCAGGGATACTCGAAACCCCTCTATATAAACTGGGAAATACATCTGCGGTACAACAACATTTGTTGCTGTACCACGACTATATAACCGCTTTCAATTATTCATCGTCCTCTGAAACGAATGCCCCGAGTACTGCTTTTGAGTACGGTATTGGAAAAAAGAGGAGAGCGAGGATCAAAGAAACTGCGAGAGGTAAAAGAATACATTTACACACGAGTGTAAACATGCACATATTTACGTATATTTATATCAAGCGTGCAAACGTGGAAAAAAAGTTGTCATAAGAACCGCGTATAGAAAGCGTGATACGCGCAATCTTTCGCCGGTTTTTTAAGAAAATTGTATCATATTTTTCTTTTTATTCAAGAAGAATATGGTTTACACCGAAACAGAATGTCGTTGCGACTTTATTAACCCTTTCGTACCTTCGGCTTTCCCAAAAGAGATGTGTTTCATATGAAGATAGTTTTACAGGTTTTCGGGGGTGCTGATTCCAAATTTACCATCAAAATTTACATTCAAAATGGCAGATTTAAGATAGCGATAATGAAAAGCTTAAATATATTTAAAATATTAGCTTTGATTTTATTTTGATTTTTTAAAAATATATATAATGTTTTTTCCTGAATATACACATACACGTTCGACTCATAGCGTTGTTATACATTTTTTTTTTCGCAAGCCGCGCATCTGTCGCGTCGTCTTACTTTGATTACACATATAAATTATTATAATATTTATCATAATAAAGTTGTAATCACATTTAAATAAAACTTTAAATTTATAATTAGCGCATAAAATTTATGCGCTAATTATAAATTTTATTTTTCAATTAATATGCGGTTAATCTTCATTCTCTAAAAATTTGATTTTTTGCAAAGTTTAGATAATTATATTGTACTGTAAATATTACATTTCAAAGTGCACGATTTTTTTTTACATATAACTTGAACCTTCTTCTCTAAAGCCAAGGTAGAAGTCGATAGGATTATTTGTTTAAAAGTTATGAATTTTTTCGTAGATGGGACATATATGTCCCGGAGGTACGAAAGGGTTAATGATAAATGAGTTGAGATTAAAAGCAAAGATACACAGAAAAAAGGACATTCTCATTTTGAAAATATATTTAGTTTTAACATGGAAATCTTGAAATAAGATTATATTGCGTTAATTAAAGAAAAATATAATTGCTTGAATAATTGCTTACTTGAATGAAGCCATTTTATATAGTTCAATCGAGAAAAATATATTCTTATGATTTAAGATTTAATTTTCTTGAATAGAAAAGAAACAACGTTCGATAGAAAATAACATTTTTAAATCAAAGATTATAATTTTCTTAAGATAGAATTAAATAATTATATATTCTTGAGGTGACAACTGCAATATTAAAATAAGCCTATAATATTGTTGAAATTTAAAATTATTAAATTCTTCTAAGAAGATTATAAATTGTCGCGTATATACGAAACAATGAACGCGTTAGTTTAAATATATAAGTTTTGATTTGACACTTATTTTTTTCTGTGAGTTTAAGGAATAATCGCGTTACACAGAAAAAAGGACATTTTCGTTTTGGAAATTATTTAATTTTAACATGGAAATCTTGAAATGAGATTATATTGCGTTAATTAAAGAAAAATATAATTGCTTGAATAATTGCTTACTTGAATGAAGCCATTTTATATAGTTCAATCGAGAAAAATATATTCTTATGATTTAAAATTTAATTTTCTTGAATAGAAAAGAAACAATATTAGATAGAAAATAACACTTTTAAATCAAAGATTATAATTTTCTTAAGGTAGAATTAAATAATTATATATTCTTGAGGTGACAATTACAGTATTAAAATAAACCTATAATATTGTTGAAATTTAAAATTATTAAATTCTTCTAAGAAGATTATAAATTGTCGCGTATGTACGAAACAATGAACGCGTTAATTTATAAATATATAAGTTTTGATTTGACACTTATTTTTTTTCTGCGTAGAGGAGATGATGAGAGAATAAAATTAAAGGAACAAATGTACAATAAATCTTTCGTAAGGACCGAGTAAAAAATGCGTCGAAAGACCCTCGCGAGAGTGTATATTCACGCGTAGCACGTGCGCGTACGCGGAAATATTTATTTCCGTTTGCGGAACCGCCTTAAATATTCCCGACAAGCGCGCTGTCGCGGTAAAACTCGATTTCCCGAACGAAATGAAATGCTTGTACACGTATATAGAGATTCCCCCGTGTATATAGATAAAATGCGGATCCTGAATTTCTTCCGCTTGCCCGACGGCTTCTCGCCAATTTCGATGGACGAGGGTTTAAGGGTGTCGAACACTCCGAATCGACGCGAAGAAATGGAAACGAAAATCCTCGGACAATCAATGGAATCCACGATGGAAGGATGAAATTTTCGAAAGATGGAGGGAGAGCGAGGGGGGGAAAGAGGGATTCGATTTATCAGGTCAATGGCATTGCGCGGGAGAGCGACTTAACTCCCGGTCCATTATCGACACCATGGATCGCGCCGCGTGTGCTTACAAGTCCGATCCGAAATCAAGATATCGCGCTCGACATAAAACGGATTTAGGCGGCAGATACGATTAATTTCGACGGAAACTTCCCATGGAGCCTATATCTGTAGGCCCCATTATATAGAGTGTATATGCGCGCCGTTGGCTTAAGTCTCCCAGCTCGATTTAATCCCGCGAATATAATGAGCAACTTGAGCCTGCGATTATAACAATTTCAATCCGAGCGTAAATCTACGTTTGGAGAATCCTTGCGAAATGCGTAAATACATTTGATGGAGATGAAATCGCGTAAAACGGAGACGTTCCGCGAAAGTATGGGATAAAAATGCGAATTCACCGCGATGCTAATCGATTTATAGCGAATGGGCGGAAACTGCGTTTCGCGACGCGATAACGATAATTTATTATAGCAGGGTCGTCGTAAGAGAAGAAGATAGAGAGAATGTGTGCTGTCGTCGACGGGAACATAAATAAGAGCGCTGCCATGTGTGATATCGCGAGCCCAAAAACCACCCATCGTGCCATGTCGATCAGAGCGTACGTAAATTAACGTCGAGTAACTTCGAAATGGCTCGGCTATAATCGAGAAAATATACAAAAATCTACGATACACAAAAATTACGAGAATACTAATTTAAATTATAAATTACATCGCGTCTTTTCGTGTTAATTGTAAGAAGAATATAAATCATTCGAGAATTCCAACCCTGAGAATCTCTCTGTGATTAAAGGGACTCGGCACTTGCTGATTCTAGGACACCCTCTATTTGTCGACGACGATCGTATTACGCATTGACAAGCTATACGAAACGTTTTCAGCAAACACTCAACGTCGGTATCATATTGCGTATGTAGCGTATGATGGCGCATTGCAACGCGAAAGGCCATCGAGAACGTTATTCCGAGCTCGTAGAGGGCACGAATATAACAGCTCGGGAATATAAAAATGATAATGAGGAGAAACCGATATCGAGGAGCCGTCGTTGACGTGCTATCGTGCTTTTATTTTGCTCACAATTGTTCGACACCGTCCTTGCTAGTACGCAGAAAAAAAGGACATTCTTGTTTTGAAAATAAATTTAGTTTTAACATGGAAATCTTGAAATAAAATTATATTGCGTTAATTTAAGAAAAATGTAATTGCGTTAATAATTGTTTACTTGAATGAAGCCATTTTATATAGTTTAATCAAGAAAAATATATTCTTATGATTTAAGATTTAATTTTCTTGAATGGAAAAGAAACAATGTTAGATAGAAAATAATATTTTTAAATCAAAGATTATAATTTTCTTAAAGTAGAATTAAATAATTATATATTCTTGAGGTGACAATTGAAATATTGAAATAAACCTATAATATTGTTGAAATTTAAAATTATTAAATTCTTCTAAGAAGATTATAAATTGTTGCGAAACAATGAACGTGTTAGTTTAAGTATACAAGTTTTGAGTTGACACTTATTTTGTTCTGTGTACAGAAAAAGAATATTCTTGTTTTGAAAATATATTTAGTTTTAACGTGGAAATCTTGAAATGAGATTATATTGCGTTAATTTAAGAAAAATATAATTAAGAAAAATATAATTGCGTTAATAATTGTTTACTTGAATGAAGTTATTTTATATAGTTTAATCAAGAAAAATATATTTTTATGATTTAAGATTTAATTTTCTTGAATGGAAAAGAAACAATGTTAGATAGAAAATAATATTTTTAAATCAAAAATTATAATTTTCTTAAAATAGAATAAATAATTATATATTCTTGAGATGAGAATTACAATATTAAAATAAGACTATAATATTGTTAAAATTTAACATTATTAAATTCTTCTAAGAAAATTATAAATTGTTGCGTATATACGAAACGATGAACGTGTTAGTTTAAGTTTTAGTATAAGTTTTGATTTGACACTTATTTTTTTTCTGTGTATATAGCTCCAGTTTGAGAAATGAAATAAGAATTTCCTCCGGATGGGTCTCGTACTTACTTCTTTCTGCATCTGGTCGATGGCCGCGGTTTCTCGAGATCGTACGGAATAGTTCTCGAGGAAGGTGCGGTTCAAGTTCATCTTCAACTCAGGGCCGACTTGTTCCTCGTAGAGACGCGCCAGAGCGCCGACTCCGGCCTCCAGGACGAGCACCGCCATCACCACAAAGACGTACTGCGTCGATGGAAGAAAGAAAGCAGAGGAGCGAAATTAGGAGTCGGTGAAAATAACATCGGACATGGCTTTTTTTGCGATTACGCTCTCTCTCTATTAACGTTCCTATCTCGGTTAACGAACGGAGTGGCGATGAAAGAGCAAAATGAGCGTTTAATTGAATGGAAATTCTGATAAAAGATGTCGAGTGAATTTTTTATCGACAGAAATGGGGAATGGCTTTTAATAAAAATCAGCTTATCTCTCCGTGGTAAATACGCGCGTTCTCTCGCTCTTTCTTTCTATAAATAACTCCCGAAAATAATTCCTCGAGATGACGTAATATGGACGAACGATTTTTAACGTGCGCTTTTTTTATACTAAACACGATAAAGCTCGAGATGAAATCTGTCAGCTGTACCATCATATTTTCACAGAGAGGCTTTGTTGTTATATAATGGTATTTATTCCTTGCTTCCTTTCAATGTTGTTTTCCTCGCAATTTTGCTATTGACTCGTCCAAATATGATTCGAAATACAAATATGTATTATATATCTCATATGTAAAATTTTTCATAAAATACTCGCGAAAAAAAGCATACTTTTTACATTCCTTTTATAAAATGAATCTGTTATACACTAAAAAAGGATATATACCGCAGATATATAGGACTACATATTGCACAGAAATAAAAACTCTATTTTTATCTTAGTTATCACTTACTATAATAACGATTATAGTAAATCTTCTATTATCTTAATTATCTTAATCACTACTATAATAATGATCTTATGGCAATGATTGATAATAATAATCTTAAATATAATTCCCGCCAAAGGAAATTATAATTTATGATAATTACAACTATTTCTTCCTCCCAGTGTAGAGATAATGTTGATTCCGAAATGAACAATGTATAATAATAACCATGCGTTCACATTAATTTATAATACGGATTTGTGGAGCAAAGCCGCAGGCAGAGAGAATTCACCTCGTTCGCTCAAGAGTCATCGCTTTCCCTCTTTCTTTTGAAGCGACGTATTAAAATTGCGTAATGTTCACCGAAGCTTTTCAGACTTTTCATGAATATAAACCTCTACCGAGGGACGACGAGACGCGCACACCTCAACAATCCCCCTTCCCTATGAATATTCAAATCGCGGTGACTAACTATCGCTCGTACTTTCGCAAGATTTTGCGACTCGTAGAAGAATGTGTACAGCGAGAAAAAAACACAAAAATATTTTTTCTCGTTTAACATATGGACATTATTAATTTTACACTTCTTAATTAGCGCGATATCGGCATTTAACTTTTCCGAGTTGCATGGAGTTGTTGGGAATGAAGTGTGCGTTAAACCGATGAAATGTTGGCCGATACATATAACGGTGAGAAGAGAGAGAGAGAGAGGAGAAGGAGAAGAAGAGAAGAGGAGATAAGAGAAGCTGCAGCTCGGCAGCTAATTTGTGATCAATTCCCGATGTCACCAGGAATTAAGCTGTATCGAGATAGGTAAATGATGCTTTCGGGCGGACACTCACAAGGATATAAGCACGGAAGTATCCCCCTCCGATTTTAATGAGCTTTTAATATGTTGTTTTCTAGACAAAAATAAGGGACACGTATTTTTTAAAATACCCTTTTGAAAAAAATCGGTTTTTTTCTTTCGAGATGAATATTTCAGGAACTATAAGAGATAGAAAAAAATGTTTCAAATTAAAAGTTAAATGGCTTCAAGTACTTTACAACAATAACAAAAAAAATTTAGAAAAATTAAAAACAAAAATTTTTTTTACTTGTTACTATCCTAACTTAATGTATCTAGTGGCGAAAATAAGAATGAACGGAAAGATTGATGAATTTGCTAAAATTTATGATTTATATATTTAAAAAATGTATCTGTGTGAATATTTACGAATCTTCTAACGTTATTTACACGCTTTTCTGCTTTCTTGTATTTTGTAAAATATCCCACTTCTCACGCAATTAAAACCGCCTTAAAATCATACTTGAAAAACTTTGGCCAAAAGTGTCTTTTATATCTCGGAAAGCTTTGGAACTTGAGACAGTTCGTAAGAAAAAGTAAGCTCTTCAATTATAATTAGAATATACGCGAAGACTGCGGAAAACTGCGCTTGAAAGCGGAGAACCGCACTCATCTCTAAAGCTGATTAACAATATGTTCCTTCGGTCTCGTAATTAGATCGAAGCCGTCGAGTCAAACGTATACTAGCGAAATTAGAACAAGACAGTGCGCGATGATCGATCGGGTTTTCCGCACAAACGCGCGGTCGAGATGGGAAGCAAAATGCGAAGTTTCCTGACGGATGACGCATAATTTATAATATATTAGGACGCTCAACAAGTAATAAGCGCCACGTATAGAACGTTCATCAATTTCCACGTTCATAGACGTTTCGTTAATCGTCGGGACACGATAAAAAATTGTGCGTCCATATGTTCAAATTTTCTTGCGTTATCACATTTTGATTAGTACTTTAATGTAAAATTAACATACAACTTATATGTTATTATTTTTATAACGTTTTCATGCGTTACATTTATGTCAACTTTATAACTAAACACTTTGTATACGTCTCTTAGAAATGGAATATTATTATGAGTATTTTTAATATAATTATTTTAAACAATCAACATGTCTCAAAGTCAGTTTAACATTCTAGGAAGTGTTAAAGTGAATCTTCAAATAATCTTGAACTTTGACATAAAAAAATAATTAAATTTATTAAAATCAAATATTTCTATTACAAATAATTTAAGTTAAAATAATGACTATTATATGTTAATATCTTCAACATTTCTTACGAGTTATTGTAACTATTTTTTCATGTAATTTTTAATTAATTTGTATGTTATTTTTACATTATACTTAAAGTCACAATAACAAAAATAAATGTTAAGTATCGTGTCGATCATTTAACATTTTTAATTTGTCAATAAGTAACATACGACGAATAAGTTATTTTTGCTTAACTTAAAATTTAGAGTAGACTTTATGGGACATGTGAAAAATGTTATAATTAACATTTTATTTTTTACTGTGTATGTTTCATTTTCCGACACGATATAATCCAAAGTCAGTTTAACATTCTAAGAAAAGTTAAAGTGAATCTTGAAATAATCTTGAACTTTGACATCCAAAAATAATCAAATTTATTAAAATCAAATGTTTCTATTACAAATAATTTAAGTTTAAATAATTACTTAAAATATTTTAAATTTAATATTATAAATTAAGTTAAAATAATTGAGTTAAAATAATTATATGTTAATGTCCTCAACATTTCTTACGAGTTATTGCAACTATTTTTTCATATAATTTTTAATTAATTTGTATGTTATTTTTACATTACACTTAAAGTCATAATAACAAATGTAAAGTATTGTGTCGATCATTTAACATTTTTAGTTTGTCAATAAGTAACATACGACGATTGAGTTATTTTTTTAACTTAAAATTTAGAGTGGACTTTGTGCGACATGTTAAAAAATGTTATAATTAACATTTTATTTTTTACAGTGTGCCCGTTTCATTACGAAAACAGAGGAGGGAGGAGAGAGGGGAGGCGGGAAGCAGACAGAGACGAACACGGATCGCGATATTTCCGCTTTCTCCCTTCATCCATTATTCGGAATAGAGTGAAACGACGTCTTTACATCGGTTGGTACCTACATGTACTATACCCAAGTGTGTACGTACATATTAGTACCTCAGTCAATAAATCGTTCCGGGTATATATATTATGGCGGAAACGCGGCACACAAGGAGAGGGTAGGAATGGCAATCGACAGTTTGAGATTGGTGAGGAGGCTGACAGTGAACGGGAGAGACGACGATAGATCAAACATACCAATTGCTTTTCCACTATATGGCTATGCACATGGCTGTACATATACACACATACACACGCATCTGGGATGATTTCATGGCAGGAAAAAGGGAAAACTAGTATCATGTCCTCGAATAATTGTTAGAGACAGATGCTTTTGTGTCCCGGGGTTAACGTGTCCCGGAAAACGTGCAATCTCGACTATCGAGTGAGGCTTATAAAATACGGATCGAGGATTTGTACAAACTCAGTAATCTATTTAAAAAAAAAGGAAAGAAGAAATAGAGCGTCGGTTACAATGATAAAATTGGTTTTTATTATTAAATGTATTAAATATTATTTTATTTAATTTCGAATTATGAAAATTTTTATTTGGAAACGTTTGCAATATGCTACGCAATAATTCAATTTAAATAATTTTTATAATTTGAAATATAAAACGCGTGAGAAACAAGAGATAGAGAAGAGAGTAAAATATAAAATTGTGAAAAAAAATAAATGTTACTTTATAAATATAAGTATTTTTTATTAGAAATATAAGTATTTTAAGTATTTTTAAAATATAAATATTTTTAATAAATAAAGGATTCGTACAAACTCAGTAATCTATTAAAAAAAAAAGAAGAAGAAATAAAGCGTCGATTACAATGATAAAATTGATTTTTATTATTAAATGTATTGAATACTATTTTATTTAATTTTGAATTATGAAAATTTTTATTTGGGGACGATTGCAATATGCTACGCAATAACTCAACTTAAATAATTTTTATAATTTGAAATATAAAACGTGTGAGAAATGAGAGAGAGAGAGAGAGAATAGAGTAAAATATAAAATTGTGAAAAAAAATAAATGTTATTTTACAAATATAAGTATTTTTAATCACTGAAGATATATTAATTTTTTTATAATATGCAAAGTATAATATTATAGAAGTGAATAGATATTGGAAAATTGATAGTGTAGAAGGGAAAAGATATTGGATATTTGTAATAAATTTAGTTAATGTTTTTAATCTTTCAAAGAGCATATTCTGTCGTATAATGTATAGCGCAGCAAGATAAACTTCGTCTTCGGATTACCGTCACGAGACATTGACAATGGAATTTAAGCCGGTCATGGTTCTTGGACTTTACACGGTTCTGTGATGGAAACACGAGGAATCACG